ACTTTTTTAGTATCACATGTTATTACAACTTGCTATCTGTCTGAGCAGAAAAAGAATGCACAGCATGTCTTATTCCCAGCGTGGAATCCATCATTCTGAAACTACTTCCAAACATCTTTTTCTGTGCTTAACAGTGCAATTTAAGGCAGTGGTCTAACAGAGTGTTGCCTCTAGAGGAGAACCTTTTTCTTGCTAGTTAGCAGCCATGTCATGCTCACCTGGCTGCATGGCACACCAGCTAAGTCGCTGGTGCCTGGACAGAAAACCACTCACTTTTTTTTTTTTTTTTTAAATTTCTTTTTTATCTTTCAAAGTTTTCTGTTTGAAAACATGAAACAGCTTATAAAGGAATAGCTACCAAATAAAATAGGTCAAGGACAATTCTTTGACCCTCAGGTCAGTCAGCATACAGTCCAAATCCATACAGATGAGTCTTTATTATCCCTTTCTGTCCATAGTGCTGTATACTGACAGTAAACTGCAGTTCCATTCAGATGCTGTTAGTGCCTGTGTAAGCACTTCTCTGTTTCAGTGCAAGTCTGGTCAGGTTAGCCTGGATATAACAGCACATGTATACGCTGTGATACTGGCTTTGACATTTATCCATGCTCAGCAGAATGAAGTATGCCAATAAAGTAGCTTTTTTTGCCTTGGGTATAATTGCAATGTATTAACATTTATTGAAACAGCCATGCTAAATTACCATGATTGTTGTGTGTTTTCTTTTTTTAAATCCAAATCAAGTTATCTATGTCAGCAAAAGATTTTAAATTTAAATTGAGACTCAGACTTATCTGCACCTTATTCAGGTCACATTTTCATTTCTTTCTTAATCACATAAAATCATGAACCTTACAAAGCAGAATCACAAGAGTACAAGCTGCATTTTCTACTTCAGATTACTCAAAAGTCATGCTGTCTTTCTGCTTTGACACACTGATGGTTCCTAGTCTCATCCTTGCCATTTCTATATATTCAATTTATGGAACTCTAGAGGTAAGAACACACTTTTATACCTTCTTTACAGGGTTACAAATATAGGCACAGTTGTGAAAGACCATAAACCATCTGTAACAAAAGATTCTCACCTGAAATAAGACACTGCTTCTCTATATTACAGCATTTGCCATTGTTTGTTGACTTAAGGAGAATCCTCTGTGTTCTAATTTCAAGGATTAGTGCCATATGTGCAAGTGTCTCTTCATAATTAACTCCCCAGACTTCTTCTGAACTCCAGATAGCTGTCAACTGTTCCTCTGTGAATCCATCAAATACTCCATTCAAGGTTGGTTTGTGGGTTTCTGTGTTTTTCATTTTTCTTTGTTTGTTGATTTTTTATTTGTAGTGATGAAAAGAGGCATATTGTGTTCTGGACATCATATCTTCTAAAAATTGTTCAACTGTTTGTTGACTTAAGGAGAATCCACTGACCTGGCAGAGCCATGGTTCTGCTTCCAGCGTGAGTACAGAAGCTCTTCTCCCCACAGTACAACAGCACCAGCCATGCAAAATACAGGCTTTCAGACAAAAGTTTCCAGACTGTACAAGTGCCACTGTGAATGGACACATACTCTATAGTACTCTATACAGTGACTGAGGTAACTAGATTTTCTTCTGCTTCCAGCACACAAATGCCAGAGAAGCTGGCAAATGGAAGGGGTCTCAGTTCAAATCCTGATGTATATGGATTAGCTGAGACCTCACATCACCAGTATCTGCAGCACACCTACATCTATCATTATCTGGGGCATCTACCCAGCTGATTCTCTCTCTTTCTCCAGAGAATTTTTCTCCAGTCTCTACCCCTGCTCTGCCCTTGCCAGGCATCCTGTGACTCTTTTGCCTTGGTCATAGGATTCCTCAGAAAGCAGAGCCTCCAGCCACTCTTGTAGCAACCATACACTAAGTTAAGGAGCTACAGTTTCAGAGCACTAGCAATGAAATATGCTTGCTTGATGTTGAAAATACACGTCCTACTTCACAGAAACAAGAACTGTGGATTGTCACATTTAACATGCCAGACTGTTTTGATTTCAAGAGCTGAGAAGCAGAGAATGAGGCAGCCTCAGCCTGAGCCATGCCAAACTTTTTTTTGGGAGTAGAAGTAATCTATGGATGTGAGACTGAGGAAAAACAACAACAAAAAGCAGTGGCTAATTTTCAGTGGCCAGCAATTTACCTGTCAACAGTACTATGTAGGTTGCTCAGATAACTTTTGTTAGTTTCCTGTCTTTTTCTTCTATTCTTCTTTCTGTAAATGTTAAGTCCTGCATCCAGAAGTGTATTCTGAACCTGCATAGTAGGGGAAGTATTGCAAGGTTCCAGACAGGAGCTTTGTACCCTGCTGCCTAACAGATATCTCCTTCTTCCTCAAATATCACCTGTTCCAAAAGAAAGCAGCAGGTCAAATCAGTAGCCACCAATGTTATATCTAACACTACTATTCATATATCTGCTATGAAGAAGGGAGTAGTTATTCTCTCACCTGTTTTACTTCTTTTCTGCCCAGTGGACTTCTTTTAAGCAGGTACTATCATGAAACCGATGTCTGCCAGCTCTACCCAATGAGCAGAAATATAGAAGGGTTTTTTCTAGCTCTAGCTGCAAAGTTGGATAATAAAATTGCATGTATGTTTTACCCCTTTTTTTAATGCTGGACCTTCATCCTGTTTGGTTGTTTATGCCATGTGACATGGAAAATGATAAGCTGAGCAAACTGCTCATAACTTAGTGTTTGATATTTTTATGATTTTATTCAAAATAGTGGTACTTGCTATTCTTTCAAGTATAACTAGGATTTGTCTATGTTCATCTGGCTAATTTTCAGAATGTTGAGGTCGTATGTAGCAGTATGCATAACACTCAGCTTTGCAAATCAAACCTTTAAGAGGAAATAATGTTAAGTGCAGATGAATTGTAAGGAACCTGTGAGAACAAACATTTTACAGAATCATTTATTGCACAAGAACTGAGATTCCAGTAATTTGTGGTTATGTGGGAAATTCACCACAGACCACTCTAAAACTTGGAACCTTTCAAATCCATGCTGAGATCTGAAGGACTCATCAGTGTAGACAGCTGAGTGATACACGATCCTGAGATAGTAGTTACTGTGTGTCATTTTAGCTGTTAACCACAAAGTAAAAGGAAAATACACAGCTGAGTAAAATTTGTTTTCTTCTGTTACCAACTGGTGCCACTAGGCACTGTGGTGTTCACAGAGATTCCAATGACGATGTGGAGATGGAGTTTTGAATTTATTTTTTCTTTATGGTGTCAGAGGCAGTAAAATAAAATTCTGGGTCTATGTTTGAAAACAGTCTCAGTTTTAAGTTCAACCCAGCTGTACCCTGAGGCTGAAACATGTCCATGTTTTGGCAGCAGGGAAGACTACCATATGTTGCAGTGATAAAGAAATTACACTGATGCCAATCTTTAAAGTCAGATGTAAAAAATATCTAAGAGAGTATATTTGCAGCAATGTAAGCTTAAGTATATACGAAGCATAAAAAAGCGTAACAAGTCTATATTTAAGGATCATTTTTCTGTCTCTAACAGTCATGTACTTTATAGATGCCACAAGCTGCAATTCACTATTGTTCTTGAGAGAAGGATATAATCCATAAATCCATTCCATTTCTCTGTTACACAGAATTGCTTGCTGTCTAGCTCCCAGCTTCCAACAGCCACAGCGCAATTCCACTCACTCTTTGAGTAAGTTCTTACATATTGACTTGCTTTTAGTGAGTACATACTGGGCATTGATAAGAAGATTCTTTTTTTAGCAGCCATTCACATCAGGCCTCTAAATGGGAGCGTGGATGTGGAGCTCCTGAACATGGCTGGCAGGAACATGACGTATTCTTTCTTTTTTTAAGGTCATTATAGAGTCTTGGTTTATAGCTCTCACATGTGATATGACTTTTAAAATTGCCAATTAGCTTGTTTCAAAACCAGCAATACATCAATTGTCTTTCATCACAAAAAGATTATTTGTATTATTGGCATGCATATAATAAAATCCACTATAAGATCTGTTCATAGGATGTGGGAGTTCCAAACCACACCTACTACAACTTAATGTAGAAGAAAATATCCAATGCAAAATACTGATCTCAATTATAAATCTTGTTTTCTATTGTAAACATGCAAGCTGCCATTTATCACTGCTGAAAGAGGGCTGCTGTTGATCCATAATTCTCACTGGCTAGGAAGCTTTAAATTCACTCCATTTAGCAGTGTTCTGAAACATGTTTGTGGGACTGTTAAGTCGCTGAGAATAGACAGTGGATTCCACAGCATTTTCTTGTTTTGGCTACTTATGTCCCTGAGCCATAGAAATAAATTACTGAGAGACAATAAATTTGTTTTGAAGCAGAAGTTTGTGTTTTCTCTATATACAACCTTTCCATTTCCACTTCTTCTCTTAAATTCTCACTGTATTTTTAAGCAGAGAAAAAATCACTGGCTGTTTCTTCCTGTGAATTGTCAGAGTGAGGCAGAGGTCTCCAAAAAAGATATTCACTCCTCTTTATGGCCCTCCATCTCATCAGCCACAGCAGAGTATTTCTTCTTGCTATTCTGAAACTGTCAGGTTAGCTCCAGAACAATTTCCACCATTGGCATCAAGATATTTAATGCTGTTCCTAATCCACATGTATGCTCCTCAGTCAACCTCAACAACTAAGTTTTACTATCAAGTGGCAAGGCCTTAATCTGTGATATTGTTTCAGACATGTAAGAAATTTCTGAGTATAGGGAGACTGCCCATCAGTTACCTTGTCACATCTGTACTGTGCAGTGCAGTAAGGTGTGAACATGGCTAAGATGGTAAGGCTCAAATTAGCCCTGGAACAAAAATAATGTTTAAACAACAGTTTTGTGTTGCACATGAGTTGACTGGCCCAGATAAACAGTGGCTCTATCTTTATGACCCTGTTCTGAAAAAAAAAAAAAAAAAAAAAAAAAAAAAAAAAAAAAAAGCTTAGTATTGCATTGCATCAATACCAATCTGCTTGAAGCTTGGAGAAGCTTTGCATTATTGCACAAAAGGCAAAATGTACACCTGTTTATTCTCTGAAGTGACCTTGCAGTTTTCACTGTCTGTTCTGCAGGCTGGGGACAGTGGTATTTTAGGCTCCTTTAATGGACACCTTAAAGAAGAACCATTCATCTGCTGCTGGGCTTAGCTAAAGGCCAAAAGTGTTTGGGGCATTGTTAGCTAGAAAAGGTTTGGGATCCTGTGATGCGACACGCACGTAAAGTGTAATGTGAAAGAGTTCTGGAGATGGAGGTGGAGATTTTGGGGATCTGCTGCTTTTCTGTTTAGAGCAGAGATCAGAAAACAAAAACTGACTCCTAAAGAAATCCAGTGGCAGGATATGAAATCTGCTCAAAGCAATTCTTGAAATAGCAGAAAAGCAATGTTCAGGCTTGCTGAATTGCGTGAGTGGCTCGCTAATCATTAGACTTCTGTTTTAACTGTCTCTCTTTCCTTTTTCTTTCTTTCTTTTCCTTAATTTCTAGTGTGTAGCCGAATGTTCTTCACTATCATGATACCAGTTGAAGAGCAGAGGCTCCCAACTCCTCAATGTCAGGAGGCGAGGTTGTCACTGAGCCTCACTGCAAAGCCCAGTACCACACGTGTAAAAACACACCGACGCTTTACCATCCTAAACTGAATCCTGGCCCCCGGCTTTGCCCATCTGGAAACCTCTCCAACATTATTTCTGGTCCTAAAATCCCTCCTCCCCCAGCCCCGCCGTCCCGAGGGACGCGCTCAGGGCTCTGCTCCAGATCGCGAGTTATTTCCCAGGCCGGCTCGGGCCTCCTCCCCGCCGCCCTCACTCAGGACGGCCTCGGCGGGCCCTAGCCGAGGTGGGCGCCGGGACGGAGTGCGGAGCGAGCGCCGGGACAGGGGCACCGACGGAAGCACCAACGGGGCACGGGCCCGGCCGCGGCGCCCTGCGGCTCCTCCCCGTCCCCGGCAGGTGCGGCCCAGCCGCGACGGGCTCTGCGGGGGCTCCGGGGCCGCCGCTGCGCACTGGGCGGAGCGGGGAGAGGAGGGGAGGCTGCTCGGCTCCTCCCGCTCCGCCACAGCCGCACAGCTGGGCCGGCGGCTCTGCGGCGCGGGAGCTCTTCCCTGCGGCTCGGCTGTCGGAGCGGGCTGCGGGCACCCGTCCCGAGGTGAGCCGGCGGCCGGCGCCTCTCCGGGCCGAGGCGGCGGGCAGCCGGAGCCCTCGCCGGAGCTGCCGGCGGTCGGGGGAGCGGGGAGGGTGCGTTTCGTCGTTGCCACGGAGACGGTCCGAGCGGCGGCGCCGACCCGGGCAGCGGCCGGGGGACGGCCTCGGCTCGGTCGAACTCGGGCGGGAGGACGCGGCCGGGGGGCGTGAAGCGGGGTCGGGCGTGGGTGGCTTCGGTCGCCGGGCCGAGCCGGGCTGCCGTGATGCGGGACCGGGCGGAGCTGGGCGGGAGCCCCGGCTGCGGCCGCGCAGGTGGCTTGGCGGCGGCGGCTGCTGCTGAAAGCGGAGCTCCAGCGGGCGCCCGCCGGCATCTGCCGCGTTCTGCCGCCGTCTGGGCTTGCGGCCGCTCCCCCGAGCGGCGAGATCAAGCTGAAGCTCCTTGCCGGTGTTTGAATACCCCAGGTCTCACTCCTGGGGAGGGAACTCCGCTTTTTTTCAGCTCTTGCGCTTCTGGAAGATGAAAGCTGCAGTCCCAGCAGCTTCCAAGGTGTTCCTGGGGTGATTAAATAACTCGGTCGGAGCGGGGAAAGGCTTGGTCCTCGGTGCCGAATTTCGCATTGGAGCATCTCCCCGAACCGCGGCTACCTCCGGCGGTGCGGGTTGCGGAGGGTTCGGTGGGGGCTGAACTCCGCCGCCGAGCGCTCCCGGCCTGGTGGGCGGCCTGCGGCTGCTGCGAGCTGACGTGACACGCGCAGGCTGGACGGTATCGTTCCCAAGCAAGTTGGGTTAGCCCTGCTTGCATCAGTGGTAATGGCAACGCTCATTTCGTCGTTAAAAGGTCAGAAGTAGAGCCGGGGTGAAGAATTGCTGTAGCTGATCCGCTTGGGTGGGACTGTTGGCAGGGGCAAGGTGTTCAACAGCTGCTGGAGGTCTTCATCCAAACCCGAAGTTTATGATTTAAGTACAACTTAGAGAAATCGAGCGATACGTGGAGCAAATAATACGGTTACCACCGTTGCTTAAAAATCTCCCAATATAGAGCTACACAGCTCTGTAGCAAGGTTCACAAATGAATACAGAGAAATTTTTACTTAATGTTGGAAGCATTTAGGGAGAAATGCTTTCATCTTTTGTCTGCATTCCTGAATGTGAATAATTTGACAGAATCTGTACAGCACTTTGCTGTGATTATGTCTGAAGCACTAAGCGAGGTATGGTTCGTGTGAGAGACTGTTGCGGAATAATAAGCTCTTGCTTTAGTAGGTCACTAAAAATAATGCAGTTACACCAATTAACACCTCTTCAGCATAAGATTTTTTTTTTTAAGATACGGTATTTAGAAAAATGCCATTAACATTGGGATTTGTCATGCATGTGAGCAACAGAAGTCTCCATTTTTTCCTGTATAAGCATGCATGAAGAAAATGCACGTTTGGGCAGTTGGGGGGAATGTGGTTCTTGTAATACTTAAAAGGGAGGCAGTAGAGAGGAAGAAGAGGCATCTAGGTTTCTTAAAGAATGAGTCAGTTTGATTTGCTGGTATATCTTGCATTCAGTTCCATGAGCAAGCAGGTACTTCAAAGAAAGGGAATTTCGGTGTAGAAATCAATGTGCTGTGTTTAAGGCTTAACAAATTAGGGTGGTATAGGAAAAACACAGGACGTCTTACTAAGCATTTTCTTGCTGTCGGAAAACAGAATCACAAAATCACAGAATCACAGAACCATGTGATATTCTAAAAGTACAAATATCTATGTAAAAAAAATTCTGGAAGTTTTGCTTTTGTTTTCAGGTTCTTGTTTTGTTTTGTTGTTGTTACATTTATTTATTTATTATTAGCACAAGCTCAGAAGTGTCTGAAATTCAAATTGGCAAAACATAATTGGAAAATGTACAGTTTTTCCTCAGCTGACAAACTCACGATTTCTTGGCATCCACAAACTGAGCTGTGATCTCAGTTCAGTCTGTCTTCTTTGTAAGGACGTGAGCAAGAGTGTTTGAGGTGGCAATCCTTGTTCAAAGGTCTGTGTATTGCCTACATTAATGAGTAATTTGGCTCAAGATTTGTATTTCAAGACTCAAAAAATTCAACATCAGAGAAGTTGGGTGTTTTGTTTTGTTTTGTTTTTCTCCCCCTCCTTGATCATTCTGTTAGTAATGAGGGGACCAGTGAACTTATAGTTCACCTGAACTACATATGGAAAAGTGTTTGACCAGGGAGAATACAGTGTTCATTTTAAAATTTCTTTTTTTCTCAGTTTTTTGGATTCAGAATGTGTTGCTTCTGCCTGAAAAATTAGATATCGGTAAAACATAACTTCTATGACACAGCTAAAAGGAATCTACTCAGTATGAAATTCATAGCACTGCTGTGGTGTTTTTGATTGATTCTGCTGAGCAGAGTGTGGTTGACTTAATGGTCACAGTAGTACAGGGAAATGATTATAAATTGGATGAGAAATTGGAATTGGATGAAGTGAGAAATGAAATTAATTTAAATGCTTAGCTAAGAACAGTTGGCAATGTTATCAGAAGAAATTAACCAAACATGAATGCCATCCACTGTCATTATGTTTACCTATGGTAGCCATGTCATCGTTCGCTTTATTTCTTTTTAGTAAAAAAAAATTGTTCTTCTTATTTCACATCCATTTAAGACTTCTGTATGTCATCCGCCAGTGTGCTGTACGCTCTTGGATCTTCAATTAATCCAGAACCAATAGGGAAAGGGGGGGGGAGGGGGGAGAAGGAAGCAAAACAAAAAAAAAATGTCATGTTTGAGTGTTTGTACTGCAGTTCTTTGGAGACAGAGGAACAGTGTCGAAAGATAGGAAGTTACAGAAGTGTGATTTTAATGATGTATTTATTTATTTATTTCTTCTCCACAAAAAAAGTACTACCTGGTTGTTTTGGTATATCTCCCCAGTTTCCTGATCTGGGATCTATCCGTTACAGTGAAAGATTTATAAGATCTTTGAAACAGCAAGTTGATGGCATTTTTACTGCTTCAGATCAAATTAGGGTTGATGCTACATGTGTCATTCCATATGCTTCTGCAATTGGAAGAGATTGTGCTTGTAGGTGGGATTCTTTATTTTCTAGGCTTTTAGTAACTTGATTTCATAGGAAACTTAGAATTTATGCTATCAAATTTTGACCTTTGAGAGTAGAGAGCAGATACTTTTCATGGTGGTTTTTTAAATTATTATTATTAAAAAAAAAAAAAAAAAGTATGTTGTCTCATGGATGTGATTTGCCTCTGATTAAATTTTGGGCTCGAAATGGTTTCTGTCTGCAATTTGAGAATAAACGCTTTTAAGAGAGAATCTCATGAGGGATATTCCTGATGAATCTGTGGAGAAATTCCAGGGACTCTAGGAAAGACCAGGAGGCAGTTTCAGGACTACAAAATGGAGCAGTAATGGTGGAGACTTTGAAATGGGAGACAAGGAGAGCCTAGAAACTCCTGACCCTAGGGTGTTCCTACTTGGATCAGCCACTCTGGATCAGCCTTGTTTTTGTAAGGAGGGAAATGTCTCATACAGGCCAGAGAAGGAGCTGCAAAATGTTGGGGAAGGGTGCTAGCCTGTTCTAGCCCACAGTCCTTGTGATCTTCAGCACCCATGGGAGAACTTTGTGCAGACAGCTGAATTACCTTGCCAGGAGTGGAACTGGAAGAATGCTTTTGTCAGATTTGTACCTTAATTGCTCTTTCAACTATGGAAAAACTTGGATGTAGAAAAGCTTTGATGCTGCTGCCCCTTACCAGACTTTGTGTGAACCAACCATGCTTGGTTTCCTTCTGGGAAGGAGTTTCATATGCACAGAATAGATGGGCTGGAATACCTCCTATGCTCCATGCTGTCAGTAGACAGCTAAGTCACTCGAAGGGCAGATACTCTGTGGGATCGGGCAGTATTGTCGTCTGCATGTGTATGCCTACATTGCTTTCTCTTCAAACTCTCTCTCTCAAATGGTTGGAGAAATGAAAGGTGTCATTTCAAAAAAGTCCTGGTAGTGAATGGCATGTAAATTCCCTTCACTTTCATGTGGATACAAAGTTATCCACTTTGTTATCAACAGCCAGAGATCTCTCTGTATTGAGAAAGCAACAAAGTAAAGTTACGAGAAAATAAATCAGAGGATTTCAGAACATCAGTAACATTTGGAACTGTAAGATTCTTTGTAGTAGGTGACTACTCTGAACAATTATGTAAATTGAGAATGTGTTTTGCCAAAATTTCTGTATCAATATGCTGCAGTAATGTCGAAGGACTTTAATTATAGGAGAATGAGCTTTATAGGGAGATAAATGCTCTAAATATTTTGATTCATCAGTACTTAGAAATTATGGTTATTCTGCAGTGTCTTTTTTTTTTTTTTTTTTTTTTTTTTTTTTTTTTTTTTGCAACCATCTGTCTATATTTTCCCGACAAGAATGATATTATAGTGGTGGCTTTTCACAGTGTAGAAGATGTGATGTTACAGGCTAATTTTTATTGTTTGTTTGTTTGTTTTTCTGAATGTTGTACTTACTCAGGATGTGTACTAAGAATGTGTATGTGTACTTTTTTCCCCTCTATAGCCTAAACCCCATCTTCAATTTTTTTAACCTATTTATGCCTCCAGAATACCTTCTCCTTTAACTGTTCAATAAGAATATGCTTCAAAAAATTTTCAGCATCAGTATTTTGGGCAACAGGGGGCTTTTCCTTTGAAGGTGTCATATTTAAGAATGGCTGAGATCTATTTCTGTTGTCTTGGCAAGATTTGATTTATATCCTGTATGGGTTTAAAACAAACAAACAAAATAAAAGACTCACCAAAAAACCTGGCTGGTTAAGTGAAAACAACATTGCTTAGATTAATAATGCATTCTGAAGTGGACATGAGCAAGCTTATGGCCTTATTATGTCTGAAACATTTTCCATCAGGGTTCACTTCAGGTTAAATAAAGTACATAAAAAGGGCTACTGCCCTTTGTAAGCTAAACTGGAACTCTAC